AGAAATCAAATTGACTACATCTGTGGAAAGAGACGATGGAAAAGCTCCATATCATCAGTGAAAACAAGACCAGGGGCAGCTTGTGGAATAGATCATCATTGCTCATATGCAAATTCAAACTGAAGATGAAGAAAAATAAAACAAGTCCATGAGAGCTAAAATATGGCCTTGACTATATCCCACCTGAACTTAGAGATCATCTAAAGAACAAATTTGATATATTATACACTAAGACTGAAGATCAGAAGAGTTATGGGATGACATCAAGAGCATCATACATGAAGAAAGCAAAAAGTCGTTAAGAAGTTAAGAAAGAATTACAAAATCAAAATGGATGTCAGAAAAGACACTGAAACTTGTTCCCCAGCATAGATATGCTTAAGCAAATGGAAGAAATGAGGAGGTCCAAGAGCTGAACAGAAAATTTCAAAGGTCAGCTCAAGATAAAGCTAAATATTACAACAAAATATGCAAATATCTGGAGTCAAAAAACCAAAAAGGAGGAACACACTCAGCATTTCTCAAGCAGGAGGAACTGAAAAAAATATTCAAGCCTCAACTTTTGTTATTGAAAGATTCTCTGGGTAAATTATTGAATGGTGATGCAAGCATCAAAAGAAGATGGAAGGAATAGAAAAAACTGATGTTCTACTATGTATGATGCTTATGTGCTGTGGAGTCAGTTCTGACTCATAGTGACCCTGTACAGGGTTTTCAAGGCTGTAAATCTTTATGGATGCAGAAAGCCTCACCTTTCTCCCTCAGAACAGCTGGTAGTTTCGAGCTGCTGACCCTGAGGTTAACAGCCCGATTCATAACCACAACACTATCAGAGCTCCTTTCTACCATGTGTTGTTGTTGTTGAGTGTCAATGAGTCGATTCTGACCCATAGTGACTCTGTATAGGGTTTCCAAGGAGCAGCTGGTGAACTTGAACTGCCAACCTTTTAGTTCAAAGGGCTTTGTAGTCTGACGCATTAACCCCACAGTGCCACACCAGGACTCCACGTATACTATCACTCAGTTCCCAATAAAAGCTTTAAAAAAAAAGAAGAAGATGGAAGGAATACACAGAGTCACTGTACCAAAAGGAAATGGTGGCTGTTCAACTGTTTCAAGAGGTAGCATATGATCAAGAGCCAATGATACTGAAGAAGGAAGTCCAAAGTGCATTGAAGGAATTGGCAAAGAACAAAGCACCAGGAATTGATGGAATAAAAATTGAAATTTTTCAAGAAAGTGAGGTGGCACAAGAGGTACTCACTAATCTATGCCAAGAAATTTGGAAGACAACTATCTGGCCGACTGATTGGAAAAGATCTGTATTTGTGCCCTTTCCAAAGAGAGGTGACCCAACAGAATGAGGAAATCATCAGACAATCTCTTTGATATCCCATGCGAGTAAAGTTTTTCTAAAGGTAATACAGAAACGGCTGCAAGCATACATTGACAGAGAACTTCCAAAGGTTCAAAACAGATTCAGAATAGGACGTGGAATGAGGGATATTATTGCTGATGTCCAATTGATCTTGGCTGAAAACAGAGAATACTACAAACATGTTTACCTGTGCTTTATTGACAACTCAAAGGCTTTCATTTGTGTGGGTCATGACAAGCTATAGACAACATTGTGAAGTATGAGTATTCCAGAACATTTAATCGTGCTCATGAGGAATCTGTACAT